CAAGTTTTGTGAGGTGTTTTTTTTTTTATATTTAATGGATCGGATTACATTTTTTATTTCCGATCCAGTAATTTAGGTCAGTATCGGACCGATACCGATACGTAATATCGGATCGGTCCATCTCTAGATGATATCATAAAAATATGGACCAAAACCTCCAAGGAACGTTCCCAGCACCTTTTTGAATCCATGACATGGAAAAGCTGAGGGAAAGCAATATAATAAAGCCAGCAGTTTCTTTTTCACCTGAAACCCCTTTCTTTGTGTTGTTCATAGTGCAATCAGTGTTTTGGTACAAGCTTTCTGAGAAGGCCACCATCCATTAAAAGAAGAAAAAAAAATCAGCTTGCTAATTGAAATTATTTTGTTTACTGCAGAAAGACAGCATTTTGAAGTGTTCTTGACCCGCCTGCTCCAGTCGTCATTACAGACATTTGAATGACTGATAACGCGCATCATTGTGGCTAGAATACAAGAAAGAGCAGAAATTGCTAATTTAGATCAAAACTAGACAAAAATGTCTGTCGTGTGATGACAGTTTATCATAGAAATTGCCAAATATTTTTCTCACTTAATAAAACAAAAAATCAAGTTACAATTTTTTTTGGTTTGTTTGTTTGTTGTTTTTGCACTGATACCACGGCACAAGCCAATGTTCCATAGAGCACAGCTACCCTCCAGTATGCCCACACTGGAATTAGTCCAGTGCTGATATAATAAGCCTGACAACTGATGAGTTTTGCATTAAGAATTGGTTAGTGCATAGCCAAATTTACATAAATACCAACATTGGTTTCAATTACATTATTTTATGTGATACATTCAAGTTATGCATGTAATGACATTCTAATCTGGTGCAGTTCACGTCAAGTAACTGAGTCCAATGTATTATTACTCCATAAAGAAGGACAGTTGGATTTCCTATATTCTTTGTGCCTTTCAGGTTTAAAGATAATTAAGTAAACTTTAATAGGGTAAAAAGTGACCCGTTACCTGATACAAGTTCCTCCATTACGACAAGGAAAGTGCTGGCAGACAGGAGGGTCACAGTTCTTGATATTTCTCCCTCTAACTGCCTCACCCATCAGGTAAATCTCCTTTGAGTTGAGCTGAAGTTCTCTGATACAGCCAATGAATCTCTTCTCTGCTTTTTCACTCTTGTCGTGCATGTCCCACTGAGATGAAACATCCCCAAGAAATATGGGTCCAAAGGTCCCCTGTAAAATAAATAAATAATTAACACACATAAGTGATCAGCAGTATATATTATTAAATCACACTGGTGCCTATAAGACATGTCCCTTCAGGTACTTCAGGAAAAAAAAACAGTTTGTTAAAATGTATGTTTGTGTGTGTGTGTACAGGTATTAACATCTTCATGGGGACCAAAAATTTGAAGTTTACTATGCTCGTGGGGTCCAACAGCCCTTATGGAGACAAAATCCTGGTCCCCACGAGTTTGAAGGCATTTTTCAGACTCAAAATGTGGTTTTAGTGTCAGGTTATAATTAGGTACGGTTAGAATTAAGCATTCATTTTTGATGGTTAGGGTAAGCGGCTAGGGAAAGCATTATGTCAATTAGATGTCCCCACAAAGATATGAAAACACAGTGAGTGTGTGTGTGTGTGTGAAATTATTACTGCTATTACATTATTAGGACCTTAATGTATCCTGAGATGAAGAAGAAAGATAACAGACTCAGCTACTGTTACCCTCTGGTGTAATGTGGTATTAGTATCACCTAGACTGTAACTTATATTCTTGTTAATAAGTCAGTTACACTATCTGTTACATTATTACACTAGACCCCATGTTTTGTTTTGCTTTTTTTAAATGTTGTGCCTTTTTTAACTGTTATGTTAAAACGTATCCGCCAGTTATGAAGTTAATGGGTAAGTAAAGGGAGTGGATGGCGTGTGGAAAAAACAGTGGGTGCAAGGGAAGTGAGGATTCTGGGCATTTAATGTATTCCATGTTTAATGTGAGACTAACCATCAAAATTAATGCGTTTGTAAGTTTAGAGAAGTATGAGCACCGAGTAATGTTTTCTTTTTCATTTCTTTGGATGTCACATATCTAGAGATAATGATCATTAAAAAAAAAACACTGGTAGGTTCCTTTGATGTGCAGTAATTGGGTAACATTTGGCTAATATAGATAAATTGTGTGAACCTGTAACTTATTCTTTTGTAACAGTCAACTTAACAACTGCAGCTGTGTCTGCAAAAAATGCTACAAACGAGTACATCACATAAGCATAAAAGTGCCTATATTTTATTCCATCGTACTGTATAAATTTCCTTCATTTACATTTTTTTATTTCTCTTCAACCTACAGAAGATTTCAAGTTCTGTCCTAGGCAATGAGCACAAAAAGATTTTAACTGTTCCTGTGGTTTACTCTGAGGACGTATGGGTAATAAAACAAAACAAACTATAATAAAAGAGAAATGTGTTGACATGAACATTTCTGAGTCAAATTATGGACACCGGATGTTAACTACGAGATTAAAAAAGCTCATTTGCCACTTTACATACGTTTTGTTATGGTATAGCGATAAAATGCAACCTTGTCATGTAATATACTGGATGTTAACAGTATGAAAAGCTCAAAGTACACTGAATATTGCTGTTTCCAGTTTCGTCTCTGCCATTACAAAATCACATCAGTCATGTCAGAATTTATACATCCTTGGCACTCGTCATAACTGCTTGCTGGCATCGGAGGAAGTGTTGGACAGCTGAAGTGGAGGTGTTCAGTGAAGGGACACTTAAGTGTTAGACCACATTATCATTTAGGATGTCGGCTCAATACAAGCTTTAAATGACATAACCGCTGCATATTTAAAAGCCTATAAAGAGACATGCATGACAGGATTCCTGTGAATGTATGTGCAATGAAGCCACACTTTTAAGGACCTTGAAAGTATCTTTAAAAAAGCTTAGGATTCATATAAAACAAGCAGCGTGTGATGGGTACTTTTAAAACATGCTAAACTGTGCTTGTATGTGATTCACTGTAGCTGTGTGATGATGATGGGCTGATCATAATGTATGACTTTATGGTGCCTCCAAGCATGTTTACCATGTTTATGAGAAGAGTCCATTTGAAAAGCCCCACTAATGTAAAATTCATGACTTTGTAAGTGGACCCACAGCACCGCTTTC